GAGATGACACAGAAAGAAGAAGAAGAATAAAATACCGGCCAATGCGCTATTCATGTTTTTGTTCGCTTTTACACATTGACTTACAATTATATGGCCGTCGGGTCCGCGCTAAAAAGTGTCCGAACTTATAGGGCGTTAAAATCGTATACAGAGCGTCATTCACGCTTTAGTCTTCGTTTGTTCGACTTACAGCGAAGCAAGCAAAATTAGAGAGTACTGCAATGACATTACAATTTAAATTCATCGTTTTAGCTTTTTCATATTCCTTTACATGTCACTACGTTTAAATAGGTTGACTTGGGACATTTTTTTCGTGGTTTTTGTATTAGACCCGTCGTCCATTTATTTGTAAGTCAATGCTTTTACACCAAAGATTATTTTTAATAACCAGAAAAATCACCTCAAGTAATGTCATTGTAATGTTTTCATTAAATTTACACATTATGAAGAATATTTCAGGAAATATTTATAAAATTCTTTGCTTTTTTTTATTTTTCGTGAAACAATGATAATTTTCAAATGTTATTGCACACACTGTTCGATTAATTGTCGATAAGTTATTGCTGGTTAGTACAGTTATTATTACCTGGTGCAGCAGATTTCACTGGCCATCCAGCGCGGTAATGCGGCTATAATGGGGACGTTTGAGCCGGGTACGGTTCAGAGCGGTCCCTTTTAATTTTCGTTCCTATTTGGTTTTCATTACTTATATTATTAGTGTTTTTGATTGAATTTTTTTTTTGTGTTTTATTTTAGATGTAATGTGACAATGATAATTAGAAATTTTATAAATTAAATTGTACAGTAAGTTATTCAATAAATAATATTTTTCAACTTTGAATTTCAATTTTGAACATTTTATAATATTTACCTACCTCCTTACCGTCCAATATGTTTTACGACATTTCTCTTGTTATCGTATTGATGGCATACACTAATGCTTGCCATCGTGGCAAAGGGATTTGCCAATAGGTGTAAAGTATTCGTCTATTGTTACCTAGGGTATGCCAGACGTACAGGAATGGTACGTCATACAGCAATTTTCAAGATATTTATTGTAAACATAAACTCAGTACAGAGCACTAAAAAACCAACTTCAAAGGTCGTGGAATTACATCTATTAGCCAAGTTTTAATAAAATCAGTTACCGGAAAGTGCGCGACGCCGGTTTCATCCCCTGGTTGAATATTTAGTAGAATATTTTCTTTAAATTTATATGGGGCGAATACTGAGGTGACCCTCTTTTCAACAAAAAGAAAAACATCAATTTCGGTTTAGAAATGACGGAGTTATCGCGTAAATTACAAATAGAAAAGAGTACAGTCAAATTGAGAACCTCCTCCTTTGTTGAAATTGGTTAAAATTACACCCTTACTAAACCCTACCCAACCCTAACTTTCCAGATGTTATTCGTTGATCGACGAATCCAATATCCCGAGTCTATACAACCTCATTGATTTCGCATAAGTGTTCAATCATTTACTTTCGAAAAAATAGAAATAGAAATTGAGAATATACACTGACTACTATACGGTGTGAAAACAAGACTACTAAATATTTTCTCGATAGAAAAAAACACAAACTTACCTTGAAATTTTATATCAAATCCACTGTATTCAATAAGTACTTCACATATACCATTTTTTTTATATCAACTGAACTAAATAGGACACGTATAATATACGATATACATACATCAAATTAAAATATAATATTATATAATAATTAATTGCAAATAAACAAATAATAATATAAAAAAATTAATTCTGAAATAAAGCAAGTATCCCTGACCCAAGCAAACTGAACCATATTAGTACGGGAAAAATTTTAAAACGAGCTGAGTCTGTACTGAGTCGAGTGAATCTGTACTACAGACTCTTAATTAATATCAAACCCTTTGGCGGAAAACAATTACAACGGGAAGAATTAAATATATAGTTCGATACTTAATTTTATATTCTGTCTTGTGAGTTAGAAAGTTCATTTTCGTTAAAACTTGGTATATTTTTAAATTTTAGTTTGTATATAAATAATAGACTATATTAAATGCTTTAATAAAATTATCATCATCAGCTTTTAAAGGGTTTCCGATTTGTAAAGTTTGCGCTGTTTGTCGTAATGCAGCATTCTATGTTAATCTTTTATAAAGTAGCTATGATGAAGGGTAGGAATTATGTATAAAACGTGTCGTATAGAATGTCGTGTGTCACTTCCAAATGATGTCTGTTCTGTAGAACGCTGCTCTTAAAGACTCAACTCACACTGGCGAAGAGTCGAAGCAACGTCAAAGAAGAAGAAAGAAGAAAAGAACAAAAGAAGCGTCGAAGTGCGAAGGCGCGAGTCGTCCATATTTAAATTCCATATTTACATAACACAAATTTGTACCTTAATAATGGGAAAATAGAGGTGAATATGCTATAGGCGAAAAACATGACGCGTCGTGACGCTTCGACTCTGCGCCAGTGTAAGTTGAGCCAAAGGGTAGCCTTGTAAAATTTTGTTAATTATAGGTCTTGTTAATTGCATAGTAATTTGATTTTTCAGCTGTTAGCCCTGTGAGCGGTCTTCATACCGTTAAAGTGTGATCCTATTCTATCTCGTTCATTTATTTATTAAGAAATAGATACAAAACAAAAACCTTAAATCTGGCTGCTGACGGTGTAACAAGAACCATTTTTGTTTTAACCGTACACCGGCTCGACCATTCACCATCTCAGTAAATAAATTAAAAGTTACAAACGAAATAAAAAAAAAAACAATAACCATAAAGGAGAATACGAACAAAAAATAATATTAATAATTACGCTAACGTGACTAATTTGTAATGTTAACTAATTTTTGTTATTTAAAATGCAAATAAAATAACAATACAGAAAAATAAAAAACAAAATGTGAGTAGGTATCAATCCCATCTGCTGTTTCTAGATTCACAATATTCACAGTGCACCAATACGTCACACAGATAATTTTTTGGGGCGTAACACACGGAAGTATTTTGTTTCGTTCTTAATTTAATTGTTTATTACACTTTGACTTATGATGATAATATAGGTATTTAGTAGCAGTAGAGCTCCTTGAGAAACAGTTCGTCCAGGGAAGTACCGCCACTTCACCGATTTCCATTTTAATGCTACTAGACATTATGTAGCGTTTTTTTAATGGGAAACCATAGAAGATACAAGGAAACTGTCTTAGGAACCACTAAATATTTTTTATGAAAACGATATTGGCATAGTAGTTTTTTTGGTCAAGCATGGGTTGTCCATAAAAATGAATAAAATTGATCAAGTTTTTTTTAGTGCTGATCGACTCAGTTTCATAGAAGAATCATTTCATTGTGTGAGACGAAAAAAGTCGGGACAGCAGAA